CATGATCAAATCAGTTGTTTCAAAAGCTCATTCTGTAAGCTCTGAGAAGGGGGGGGGAAAAAAAAAGCAGTGAAATAAGACCAGGAGAGGCGGTTGCAGCAATCCAAGCCAGCCATAATGCGAAAGTAGGGTTTGGTGAGGAAATCCATGTGAAGGAAAAGGAGCAACCTAGGTTTCTAACGTGACCATCAGTGTGTAAAAGCAGAAGGGCACTTCAGCGTAAGATGCGCTGTGTGTAGCCCCTGTGCGGCAGCCAGAGGGCTCGGGAGAGATTTGCTGAGAACTCAGGCTTGCGAGGTAGTTCTGATGAAGATGGATGGTTCCAAGTGTATGTTCAGAAAAACGGCCGTATTTACAAGATTTGCTGAAAACTAACGATTGCCAAATCATTTTGAAGAAAACTGGAGATCCAGGCTCTGGGTATTGATTTGGAAGTCTTTAGCATAAACATACCTGTCGAATCCATGGGAACAGAGGAGTGTACAGAACTAAAGGGTAGAAGGCATTAAGGATCACCAGTTTTTTTAAAGAGTGCACTGAGGGGGAGGAACCTGGGAAGGAGATTGCTGGAACCAGCCCCCCAGCCCCTACCTGTGGAGGTCTCCACGCTCCCATTCTCCAGTCTTTACTGCACCGTTTACCTGCCTACCAGAGGTACCTTCCTAAAATAGAAATCAAGTCGTGACTTACCAGCTCAGACATCTTAGCTGATGCTGTATTTGTCTTTGAAGTCCAAATCTCTTAGGTTTTAATCTAGCTCTCATCCCTCAGAGATTGAACAGAAGTTCTGACCCACTTTTCCTCATCTCCCAAATCACCCTCCCGAGTGTGCTGCCCTGCAGACGCAAAACCTCAAACCTCTGCTTACCCCGTTTTCTCCAGCTGTATAGTTTTTGTGCTACGCCAACTATCAGAAATTCAGTTTATCCCTTAGGAGACAGCTAAATGCTCCCTCTTCTGAGAATCCTTCTCAAAAGCCTCCAGTTGCAATTCAAGACTTCTGTTCCTTTATATCCGCACATTTTTTTTCCTTTATCATAATGTGGATCTCCCTCTGCCTTGTTGGTTGTCTCCATGCCTTCCCCTGTTAGAGTATAAGCTCTTGGAGCCTACTTAGCTTTGTATCTCCAGGGCACGTAGCAAGGTGCCTTGCCCCTAGAGTGGCTTTCTGTTAAGTATTTATTGTTGTTGTCGTTTTTAATTGGCGTAATTAGTATCCCAAACTACAAATCATGAATCAAGATGAAGGGCTTTACTTTTTGTTTTAATATACTTATAGAAACTGCATCTTAATGCAGAGGAATATTTTGTCCTTAAGGAAAAGCATAATTGGAGGATTTAGCGTCAATACAACTCAAATAATCAACAATAAATTCTAAAATCAAAGAATCAACAGCAAACTTGTATGAATATTTAAAGTCATAAAATTATGCTCCCAGAAACATAATTTTAGCAACAGAGAAAACCTGAAAGAGCTTATCTAGTCGAGTGGTTTGTAAACTCTCTCCTCTGTAGAGCCCTGTTCCTCAGGGCTCTGTGGGGTAGGTCTGGGGAGGCCAGGTTTGCCAGACCACCAAACCTAGCTTCACCTAGAGAAATTCTACTTTTCAGTGTTTGTATGTGAGGCTTTCAAACAAAATTGTATTGAAAACTAGTTTTGCTTTTAAACCAGTTTGAAAAACAGGATTGTAACCTTCAGGCTACTTCTGTAATCTTGGTGACTCTGGGCCTCCATTTCCTCATCTGTAAAATATAAGAATGGTGCTATGATAGTTCATGCTTTTATTCTGAGCACCTCCTGTACATTTTTAAGTAAGAAAAACAGACCTCAAGAGAAGTTAAGTGGCTTACTGAGGCCATAGAGAGTTAATGACAGAACCAGGATTAGAATTTAACCAACAGCCCTCATTGTTGGGTTTTTTCTTTTCAATAAAAATTCCTACAAAGTGGGTATAAAACAATTGCAGATATTAATTCTTTGGAAAAGGTAGATATCAGGAGGTATATAAATAGCTTTAAAAATAGAGTTCTACTATATCATAAATTTGCCTTATTTAAAGCTGGTGTGCTACTGCAACAAACATAGATTGAACATTTACTTAATTTTACATTCATTCTTCAAGTTTATAGAAATATTTGGGGGAGTTGTTTGCATGGCCCATTTCTCTTTTCCAGAGTTATTTATGAGTTGTTTCTTCTTGGTAAATCTCCATGTAATCACTGGAGGCACTGAAAATCATTCCATTAATCATTCCTTTCATGTTTGTCTCACTGCATCTAAACTTAAAAGTATCACTACGAAGTTGTGAGGGTTTGGGAAGCAAGAGTCTCCAGATTCTGATCCTTTCATTCAACTCCTTTGCTTTGCTCATCTTCCTCTCTCCATCCCCTCCTCTCCAAATCAAGGGTATCCATGAAGAGGAAATGAAGTTCACAAAACAGCTGAGAGGTGTGTGTGGACAAGAGGACAAGAAGGGCAATCATGCTCCTTGGCCTTGATGGGGGGTGAGGGTGCTTATGGGCTGATTGTCTCATAGCCTTGGGCTTTTTTGTTTAAAGATAAAGTGAAACAAAACAGCTCACAGAGACACCTCCTTCTTCCCCCTCCTTCTGCCTCCATACCCATATGGCGCGCTGCTGCTGAGACCAAGGAATGAGTGAGTAAAGGTGTTGAGAAGTGAAGTATTGGTCCTAAAGAAATAAGTGTCCTTTTATAAATCAGTGTCAAGACTTTGTAATGTGGATCTCCTACTAATTTGTGATTCATAGCATTTGAACATAGGTTAAGCCAGCCTTTGCATCATGAAAAAGGACTTGGATATGCCCGCTACAGTAATGCAGTAATACAGTAGGAAACAGGGCAGGAACTATGTTTAACTTGCTTAAGACAGACTTTCTGAGGACATCACAGCACCCATTTCATATGAAAAGACTATTAGAAGCAGGTTTGGTAAGACCTGCACGTAGTAATATGTTGTTACTCATTTGTCAGGGTCACAACAAGCAAGGAAAAGTAACGCTGACGTAACAGTGATGTATAATTCAGTCTGACTTCCCTTCCCTCAACCTCTGGAGTAGACTTATATTCTGATTAGAGCCATTATGTTGGGTTTTTTTAATCCAGTAGTTTTACAACATTTCATATACAGTTGGCCTTCCTTATCCACGGGCTACGCATCTAAAGAGTCAACCAAACATGGATCGAAATTATTTGGAAAAAAAATTCCGGAAAGTTTCAAAAAGCAAAGCTTGAATTTGCCATGCTGGCAACTATTTACATAGCATTTACATTGTATTTACAACTATTAGCATAGCGTTTACATCGTATTAGGTATTATAAGTAATCTAGAGATGATGTAAAGTATACAGGAGGTTGTTAGGTTATATACAAATACTACACCATTATATGAGGCACTTTAGCATCTGCAGATTTTGGTATCTGTGCAGGTGGGAGTGTCCTGGAACCAATCCCCCTTGGATACTGAGGGCCGACTGTATATACATGTATTTAAGGTAAGATGTTGCTCTTGCCTTGGGCAAAGAGAGAGAAGTAATACTTAGACCATGTAAAAGAAGCATCTGACATTTAATCTGTTGGCTGTGTTTGGAATTTATTTCATAAGTCTGGGGAAAAAAACTGAAGAAATTCAGTTACAGTTGATGCTCTCTGAGAGGTTTTGATGGTTTTCTTTTGCTCTATGGGCTTGAGGGCAGGCAGACTATTCTGCAGTCTGCATTAGTCCTTGAATTTAAATGTTCTATGTGTTTGTACTTTTTTCCCCAAACACATTTTAACTGAATCAGATCATCTTCAAACAGTTGAGAAAAATCCGAGATTGGCTCTTTTGTTGTTCTTTGAAATAGGCTCACTTACTACCACATTCAGGTTTTGCCACTAAGTCTCCTTGCCCTTTAACTGTCGTTTTCATTACATGCTTGATTTAAAGCTCTATAGCCAGCAATAATATTACATAGTTATGGTCCAGAAAAGTACAAAATCCTCTTGAAATCTTTATGATAAGAAAAGTAATACTTGTTTAAAGGGACTCAGTGCCAAATCTTGCTGAAATCTGATTGTGAAGGAGGAAATCCAAAAAGGCAAAACAAGTTTCAGTAGAGATAAGACTGGGAAAGCAGTAGTTACTCAAAGAAGTTAAGACTGAAAGAGATAGTTGTACTCCTTGTCTTTCAGTTCATTTTGGCTTTTTGTTTTCTGGGGTTTTAAAATTTTAATTAGGTAGATATGGTATATCTCTTTCATTTGTATGTAATTCAAAACTTTAACATAGTAGTGATTTATATTTTCTGTGTGAATTTTAAGTAGATCCTTCCCATAACATGTAGTTATCTGTAAAAAAAAAAAATTGCAAGTCTGTCTTATAGCAAGATTAAGTTGATTTCTAAACTACTGTCTCATACCAACCACCATTTTCCACAGTATCCTTTCATTTGGAATTAATGTTCAAACTCTAGAGGAACCATCTAACACTCAGAGTATAATCTGGCACCACTGAAAGTGCTTATTTGATTTTCTTATGGAGGTGCCATTAATAAAATAGATATACTAAGCAAATTTTGTAGAAGATTTAAAGAGCTTGCAGATTCAAAATTTTACACATAGTTCAGTGAGTAACACCATGAAAATACAGTGTACTGACAGGATTACAAAGGAAAGATGCAGTGTTGAATGGTAAATTTAGAACTTAAGTAATATAACATAGTATTACTGAATTAATTTAGGCTGACTCACAACTGACTCTTTTTGCCACACACCTGAAAGCTCACTTTCTTTATGAAGAGCGCTTAACCAACCTGGAGAGCTGTTTCCTTGGTTTTCCATGGGCGTGAATAGACACTTGTGATAGAAATGCTGATAGACACTTGTGTTCAGAACAGGCATGCTCTCTCCTCATTCATCTAGTTGGTGGGTTTTCAGCATGTGAATGTTGCCTGTGTTGTCTTCTGTGATTTGTGATTTACTCTTTGTTCTTCTTTCACAGCAGTCATTCAAGTCCCAGGATTTCAGACCGGGCTCAGAGTCTATGACACAGTAAGCAGCTTTTCCTCCTAAATAATTTGCAGTGATAAATAGTTGTTTGTTTGCTTGTTTTTTTTAAGGACAGTTTATCCATTTCCCTCTTCATAATACCACACTAAAAAAAATTATGAAATGCCTATTTCGAGGCATTAAAGAAAAAAAGCTAATACCCAAAACATTATCATTGTATATGTCTTAGAAATGCCTAAGGTAGATGAGCAATTTTTGAAGTATTTATTTTAAAAGATCTCTAGGAAATTTTTGTATTTTTTTGATACTTGCTATATTACTTAATAACATAAATAGAAAACCTCAAAAAAAAATACCGAAAACCTTTGCAAAGCACTTCTCAATTTTTATCATTGCAGATGATTTTGTACATAATCTGAAGCCCTGACTTCATATTCACACGTCACTAGCAAACTATCACATGAGTGTAACAACCTTGAACAGCTCAGGTGTCTGCTCTGCCCTCCCAACCCACCGCCACTGTCCCCACATTGGGTGCATGCCTACACACATGTGCACACAGAGAATCCCTGCTGAATGTCCTTCAGGAAAATATTGGGTTGGCCCAAAAGTTCAGGGGTTTCCATAATGTCTTACAGAAAAACCCGAATGAACTTTTGGGCCAACCCAATATTTATTCGTTAACCCTGCTATGCACTTTGACATTTAGAATATGTCTCTTCCAGGTCAGAAATTCTGATTTACATGATACTCTAATTTACAGGCATTATCAGATAAAACCGTGCATTATTTTATAATATTTCATTCTACAGATGAAAGACAAATAGAATTTTTAAATGGTATTTTTAAGAGTCACAGAATCATGACCTAGAAGATCCCTTAGAAATTCTACATTCCCTCTGTTTTACATTCAGGAAAACTAAGAGGGAAGACCTTGTGCAAATGTCACAAGGCACATTTATGTCAGCGCTTGAACCAAGCAAGACCTAAGTCTCCTGATTCTCAGACTACCAGGGTGTGTGTGTGTTTGTTTTTTATACTATATTCAGAGCTATTAGGCTCCTTGGTAAGATGTCATCTTTTTGTAAGTTTAAAAAATCTTTCTTTTTGAGAGATAAAATTATATTGATGATTATGTGATTATATATAGCCCTGTATTACATCAGAGCACAGTCACTCACATTATCACATTTGAGTCTCCCCATTTCCCTGCAGACCACTGCTCTGACCCCTCTTTTGCACGTGGAGAACCATGATCTGAGGGAGGTAGTAAGAGGCAGACCCAGTACCAGAACACAGATCCTGTGTTTCCCAATCTGCTGTTCTTTCCATGCTTTCTCTCTGCCTATCACACGACACAAATACACATCCCAGGTCTTTCAGGTTTTTGTTTTTGTTATATCTGCCAGGTGTGTTTTCAGTTCCGATCTCTGAACAATTGAAATTTTACATAATAGTTGATCACATAATAACTGGCTCTGAGGAGTATACTCAGTGACAGATCACCCACGTAAAAAAATACGCTGGCAGTGAGGACAAACTCTGTTTCAACAATCAAAAATGACCATATTTTAATACATTATGGGAACAGTCCTCTCTATGAACATTTTTATAAAAGTTTTTAAAACTTTTATCTAATATGTGAATGAAAGGTTCTGTAGTCACTCTGACTACTTTGGATACGTATTTTCAGGTGACAGAGAGATCCACATAATGCTCTCCAGATTAAAATTCAAAAAAGCCTCAAAAACCATCCCAGCTTGTTTCTAAGGCTGTCAGGGTAGCTTGGCTTCTCTTTTTGAACATAGAGCGCTTAAGAAGCTTCTGAAAATAAATTTTCATGAGAAGTTCAGATATGTCTAAATGCTCAATTTCATCTAAAGCCTTTGGGCTTTCCCTGTACTCATAACTTCTTAGAAGTAAGGATGAATTAAGATACATTTCTCATGACTTAAGAACTGTAGGCAAGTTGAAGGTGGAAATACTATAGCCCAGTATGTCATTTCTTTATTTCTGTAATTTACTTAAATGAGTCCACTGTACCCAAGTAAATGGATAGAGGCTAATTTTTTTGTTTCTTTGCAGCCTTGCCATTCAGTTACTAACATCTGCTCATTAGTTGGTTGACCAGACTTTGTAAATGAGCCACATAGGACTGCCTCTCACCACTTTCCACTTGAATTTCTTGTCTCATTTATACTTTTTAATTTTTTTTCAGAAATGTCAATCACTTCTGTGCAAACAATTTTTACACATTTTAATAAAGCTACACTCTCTTATCTTAAAAAGATACCAAGAAGAAACTTTTATAGGTTAATTTAAAGGCATTTTCTTGAAAGTCTTAAACTTTTACCTTTTATATCTCATGCCCCTATGATGTTATGATCTGCTGCCCAAGTCAGAGTTTGTAACGAAGCTTCTACAAATATGTTATAATCCATTAGTATTAGTATTAGTGTTCCCTAGTTACTAATATATTTTATCTTGAGTTTGTTGGGTTTTTTTTTTTTAAACATAGAATGTTTTATTTCATTAACAGGTTTGGTCAGAGAGAAGTTAGTTCAGATGGTCAATAGTATTAAAGGCCTTTATTTGTGAACACTCATATGTGAACTGAATGAATGAATGAATGAATGCAATCTCTTCTTAATGTAGTGCAGCCATAAGTGTGAACTCCAAGTATCCGATCTCTCCTGCACTATATATTTTTCCATCTTTATAATAATCCTATTCCAGACTTCTTCAATTTCTTCTTCTTTTCATGAGAAGAAATTAGTTTACCTTTTTCCCCTAAAATACCCTACTACTTGCAACTTTTCTTTTTAATTTCTTCTTTTGATTATTCACTTTTCAGCCTTTTTCTCCTCCTCCCATTCCCCGCCCTTTCTGAAATCAGAATTATCCACTGTCAGGAGTGTGACATCACAGAGTTCCTTATATATTCTAAATATGTTCTTTATCAGGTACATGATTTGCGGATATTTTCTCCCGGCCTCTGTTACGCCTTTTCATTCTTTTAACAGTAGCTTTTGAAAAGCAAACTTTTTTTTATTTTGATGAAGTCCAATTTGTCAATTTTTTTCTTTTATATGTCATGCTTTAGTATAGTATCTAAGAAACCTTTGCCAAAGTTACAAAGGTTTTCTCCTATGTTTTCTTTTAAAAGTTTTATAATTCAAATTGGTTTCATATTTAAGTCTATGATCTGTTTTGTGTTAATTTTTGTATATGATGTGAGGTTTGGATCAGAGGATTCTGTTTTGTTTTGTTTGCATTTGGATATCCAGTTGTTCTAGCATCATTTGTTGAAAAAATAGCCATGTCTCAACTGAATGGTCTTTACACCTTCATTGAAAATCAATTGTCATTATAAGGGTAGGTCTGTTTCTGGACATATTCTTATCCATTGATCTACTTCTGTCTTTACACCAGTAACACACGGCCTTGATTACTGTAGTTTTATAATATGTCTTGGAATCAGGTGTTATTGGTCCTCCAGTCTTGTCCTTTTTAAAAGTCGGTTTAACTATTCAGGGCCCTTTGTATGTCCTCATCAATTTAGAATAAGTTTTTCAGTTTCCACAACATAGGCTTCTGGAATCCCAACTTGTATTACCTTGAATCCAAAGATAAGTTTGGGGAGAACTGACATGTCGACAGTATTCAGTCATCTGCCTCATTAACATGAAATATTTCTCCATTTATTTAGGCCTTCTTCAGTTTCTCTCAACACTGATTGTTAGTTTTCAGCGTATAAGTCCTGCACATACTTGGCTGATTTATTCATGCATATCTCATTGGTAAATGGTATTATTTTTCAATTGCAATTTGCAATTGTTTGTTGCTAATTTATGGGAATACTACTGATTATTGTATGTTGATCTTGTATCATGCTACCTTACTAAACTATCTTGTTAGTTTTAATAACTTTTTGGTAGACTTCACCAGGTTTTCTATATAGACAGTCATACATATAAAAGCCAGTTTAGCTTCTTCTTTCCCAGTCTGGATGCCTTTCCTCCCTCCCTCCTTACTGCACTGGCTAGAACCTCCACTACAATGTTGAATAGAAATGATGAGAGTATATATTCTTATCTTCTTTTGTCCTGAAGGGAAGTGAGTGGGAAAGCATTCAGTCTTTCACCACTAAGTACATCATCATAGGTTTTTTAATAAATGCCCTTTATTCCTTCATTTCCTAGTTTGCTGAGAGTTTGTATCAGGAATGGATGTTGGATTTTTGTCAAATGCTTGTTCTGCACCTACTAAGATAATCATATGATTTTTCTTTTTAAATGTGCTAATATGGTAAATTACATTGGTTTTCAAATGTTAAACCAACTTTTCATTCTTTGAATAAACCCCACTTAGTCATGGTGTGTTATCCTTTTTATAAATTGGTGGACGTGATTTGCTAAAATTTTATTTAGAGTTGTTTGTATTTTGTTCAAGAGAAATATGGATCTGTAGTTTTATTTTCTTGTACTGTCTTAGGCTGGTTTTGCTATCAGAGTAAGCTGGCTTCATGGAATGCCATTCTTAAGAAGAATTCCCTCCTCTTCAGTTTTCTGGAAGAGTCTGTGAGGATATGATATTACTTTTTCCTTTTGTAATTTCTATTTATTTATTGATATTCTCTATTTGATGAGATGTTGTTCCCATACTTCCCGTTAGTTAAGTATGGTTTTCTTGCGTTCTTTGAAAGTATTTATAATAGTGGATTTCAAGTCTTTGTCTAGAAAGTCCGATGTCTGGGCTTCCTAAGGGACCATTTCAGTTGATTGCTTTTTCCCTTGTATGGTGCATACTTTCTTGTTTCTTTGCATGTCTTGTAACCTTTTATTGAAAACTGGATATTTTGAATGCTATAATGTGACAACTCTGGAAATTAGATTCTTCCCCCTCCCCGGGGTTTGTTGTTGTTGCTACTTATTGTAGTTGTTCGTTGCTTGTTAACTTCTCTGAACAAATTCTTTAATTCTTTAGTTGTAATGTGTTTGTCCACAGGAGTCTTTGCTCAGTTAGATTAGTGATCAGCTAATAATTGGAAACCGATTTCCTTAAACACCTGGAACCAGTAGGTCCCCCAGTCTTACCAGGTAGGGGCTCTGTGTGTGCTGTGCACACCTTCAACACCCAGCCAGGCAGTTGACACCTCTGTCTTAGCCTTCACTTCCTGTTAGCATAGAGTGTTAAGGTCAGCCAGCGGTGAGGGCTTAAGGCCTTCTCAGGTCTTTCCTGTGCATGCACACAGCCCTACACATGTGTAAGACCTTCTAGACTCCCACGACTAAGTCTGAGCTTTTCAAAACCCACATGGACAGCTTATTCCCCCAGCTTTTCCTTTAAAGTTTTTAGTCTGTTGTTTGCCTACTGTTATCCACCACTCAGGCAGCCCTGAAGTTAATTGTAATTGCCTCCCAGGGAAAAGGCAAGCTCTAAGATAAGTCAAATGCAGAGAGCCTTACAAGTGGTATCTTCCAGGAAACCACCAAACAGGTCAGATAATGACAATTCCTTGGGAATGAGGATTTGAAAGAGCTCCAGCCCTGTTCTGCTCCTTCCAGTGGATGCCAGGTTGCTGGCTTTCACCATAAACGCAGGCTCTTCTTTTTCAAGGTACCCACAGAGCCAGACAGTGGGGATGGGATAAGGTAAGTTAAAATGCCACAAAGCTCACTGTTCTTACCAAGTGTCAGCCATTCTTCTTGGATAAACATTCTCCAGGTTACTACAAGCTATTGGCTAATTTCCAGAATCTAAAAAAGTTGATTTTAACCATGCTTGCCAGTTTTCTCATAGCCTATTTGGAGCAGAAATTTTTCAGAAGTCCTTATACCACCGTTTTTACTGATGTCACTCTATTTCTTCTTCAGATGTTGTGTAGACTCACCAGTAAAGCTACATGGGCCTGAAGTATTCTTTTATGGAAGATTTTTAACTACAAGTTCCATTTGTTTAATAGAAGTAGAGCCATTAAGGTTATCTATTTCTTCTTATATAGGCATTGATAATTTGTATCTTTCAAGGAACTTGTCCATTTCATCCAGGTGGTTGAATTCGTTGACATAAAGTTGTTCATAATATTCCCTCATTATCTTTTTAATATTGAAAGAATCTGTAATAATGTTGCCTCTTTAATTCCTAGTGTTGATCATTTATTTCTTTACTCTGTTTTCCTCAGTCAGCCTGGCAAATGGTTTATCAATTTTATTGAAAAGAACAGCTTTGTTTTGTTGATTTCTCTTTATTGTTTATTTATTTTGTTTCATTGATTTCCACTCTGATCTTTATTTCTGCTTCTTTGGGGTTTAAGTTGTGCTTCTTTTTCTAGATTTGTTAGGTGGGACTCGAACTGTGTTTAATCTAGGGCTAATTATTCCTCACTACTGATACAAATCCCTTTTGGGTATTCTACCCAATGCGTTCTGAGTTTTGAGGTTTTCCATCCTGGCTGATGGGAATAGGTACTGTCCCTGGCCTCGGGAGATTTCCTCCGCTGTATATTCTCACCTGTACTCTGCTGAATACTTGGAGAGAACCTTTGCAAGTCTCCAAGTTCTATCACTCTGAAGCTGTCTCCTCTCTGGTAGTCTGTGAACTATAGCCTACCTGGTCTCCTCAGACTCCTAGCACTCACTCAGGGAGCCCACCAGGCTCCACACAGTCCCCATCCTCCTGTGCTGTGGCCTGGAAGCTCTCAAGGCAGCAAGCTGGGCAGTCATAGGGCTCATCTCATTTATTTTCCATTTCTTGGGTATCACTTTCCTTTGTTGCTTAGGATTCAGTGTCTTGAAAATTATTTCATATGTTTTGCCCAATTTTTTTGGTTGTTTTAGGGGAGCAGTAAATCTGGTCCCTGTTACTTCCTCTTGGATGCAAGCAAAAGTCCAGATGTTGTATTTTTCAGGGTAGCTTTCTGTTAGATCATATGTACATTATGAGAAAGAAAAGGTGGAGAGGATCACACGGTCTGATTTTCCCACAGTGATCAGGGAAAGCCAAAGATGTAAGATAGCATTTAAGTCTTAAAAACCATGTAGAGACAGTGTGAACAAAAAGAAAAGGACCTAGAAGTCAGAAGTATGGCAGGAGCTAAGGCACAATTGCATGAAAGTGCCTGGAATACCCTGAGACTAGCAGGGTATCTACAGGGTGGGGGAATGCACAGACCAAATATATATATATATATTTTAAATTGGGCCTGCCAGCAAGATACAGTCCAGGTCCACTGTGTCTGTAATCTTACCAGTTGCCCAAATACAAAGATTTCACATAAATGTAGATTTCTTATTTCTTCTGAAGTTCTGGACCACAGTTCCACATTCTTTGCTGGCTTCCATCCACTGGAGCTGAGTTAGTGGTCTCCTCCCTAAGATGAGTCATCCACTCTCCAGTTTACCAGGGTCCTGCTGTATTATTCCTGGCTTGCTTTCCTCGCTCCCCTTGTCACCCTGGCATCCACAGACATTTGAATTTTTACTTTAATGCTAAGGTGTAGGTTCCCTGGAGATAGGCAGTAAGTTATCGATGCTTTTTGCTTCAGAACTCAACTTTTCCTTTCTCTCTCATCATTTTCCTCCTTTCTAGACGTACTTTATTTGTTCTTTCATCTTTGTGGCTTCTGACCCTTTTCCTTCTCAGTCATCTGACTTCATTTTACTTACTTAGACATCTCCATATTAGTCTTCTCGGGCTGCTGTAACAGTACCACCGGCTGGGTGGCTTAAACAATCTAAATATTATTTTCATAGTTCTGGAGCCTGGAAATTCAAGATCAAGGTTCCAACAGGGCTGGTTTCTGGTGAGGCGTCTCTTCCTGCCTTGCAGGTGGCCAGCTTCTTGCTGTGTCCTCACATGGCCTTTCCTCTGTGCACGTGTGGAGAGAAAGAGCTCTCTGGTGTCTCTTCCTCTTCTTATAAGGACACCAGTCCTGTAGCTTAGGGTCTCGCCCTTATGACCTCCTTTAATTTTAATTACCTCCTTAAAGGCCCGATCTCCAGATATATTCACTTTGGGGGTTAGGGCTTCAACCTGTGAAAGAATACAATTCAGTCCACAGCAGTCACTGTTCAGTCCTCCTTATTGCCTGATTTTGAAATTCTTGTACCTTTTTCAAGCTCTGTTGTGGTGTCTCCCACCGTTCCTAGACATCCTAGAAAGGGGACACTGCCTTCCATTCTCTGAATTTCCCTTTTTTCATTGTTTTTGTATTTTCTTTTTTCTAACATAACTTGAATTACTAAACACTCATCCACAAAATATTTGTTTTCTATGTTACTGTTACTGTCGAACCATTTGAAAAGCTGCATTCCCCATCTCATAGGTCAGGATATCACTGTTTTCTTACGCATAAACTTCACCCCTTCTTTCACCCCTTCACCCCTTCTTTGTCAGTAAGGAATCTCCTGCTCTTTTACACACACTTTCTTCTATTTAATTTGATAAAATCTTCCTGGTTTTTCCCAGGCAGCTAATATTTTTCTGAAAGAAGTAAAATTTATTTTATTCTTGTCCCTTGATACAGTAAAAAGGAGCCAAACCAGCTAAGGTTTATTGTCTCTACGTTATTTTCAGTGACTCCCTGCTGCCCACCCACATATATAATCGCTCATATCACCTGTCGAATATTTTTCTCTCAGATCCTCCCATTTATCTCCCCTTTTTATTCCCACTGCCACTTCCCTAAATCCGAGCCCCATCTGAGCTGTTGCAGCAGCTTTCTCACTGGCTCCTTGTCTCCAATCTTCCCCTCCTGCAGTTCTGAGGTGGGCAGAGAACAGAGCCTTGAGGACCGCAGACACATCATGGATGTGCAGGGGAAGAAGAACGAGCAAACTGGCCGGAAAGTCACCCTCATAGAGGTAAGAGGAAACCAGGAGACAGTCATGTCACGGAGTCAACAGGAAGGTTTAGGAAGGCATGGTCAACAAGGACAAGTATCAAAGACAGCAGAAGTAAAATAAGGGCTGAAAAATGCCTTTGGGATTTGCAACCAAGAGGCTGTTTGTGACCTGGGAGAAGATGGTTTTGAATGGAGGGTCCTGGAAGCATGAGTCAGATTGTCTCCAGCCCGTAGGGAGAAGGCCCGTCAGGAGAGGCTGCTTCTCCCAGAAGTTGGACTTCAAAGGAAAGAAAAAGCTGTGCAGAAACTAGTGGAAAACACAGGATGTAAGGAAGATCTTTATACAGGAGGGAATGACAAGAATATTTATAACCCCAGAGCAAAGAGCCCCTTGAGAAGAGCCAGTCAAGGTGTAGGATAAGGAGAATAATTGAAAGAGTAGAATTTGAAACAAGAAGGTGGCGCTACTTTCTCCACTGAGACAGGCAAGTGAGACAAAATGAGTTTGAATGATGGTATTTTCTGGTGAGAGATAAAGTATAAGAAGGACAGGAAAGGACTTTCTAAAGAAGGCGGCCTCTGTTTTCTCTATTACTAGAAGTGAAGTTTGTCTGCTGAAAGTGAAAATGTTAAGCTCTATCACGTACACTTTTATGAAATTGATACTTAATGAGAATTAGATTCAAATTTTTCATAAGTATTTTTAGATTTGGATGGCAAAAAATAAAATCTCATTATACAGAAAGTTTATAAATCAATAGTTTTATAATCATGGGTGTTAAGGAATGACTTTTTATCACTGATACCAGAATTGGAAAACATATTTTGAAACAGATTTTTAGCTCTAAATAATAAAAACTTTAAAATCATTTATGTCAGAGAGAAAAAAATGCCATAGGCAGAATCTAAAAACAACCAATAAGCTGGGATCAGGAAGAATTTCACAAAATATGTGACAGATGAAGCGTTAATACCCTTAACTTATAAAAAGCTCTAAGAAGTCAAAAGGGAAAAGAAGTATATCAGTAGGAGAACTGGCAAACGGGGTGCATAGGACATTCTTAAAGGGATATATATATATATATATATAAAACAGTGAACATACGAAAAATGTCCAATTACAGTGATCAAATTAATAGAAATTAAAACAATAAATGAGATGGTATTTTTCCCTCAGAAAATGGCAGCAAGCTTCAAACTGATACAACCTTGTGTTGATGAGAGTATGGGGAAGTGGGTTTCCTCATATGCTGCTGGTAATAGTATATATTAAAGCAATCCTTTGTGGAGTATAGCTTGGTAATACTTGTTTATTTTAAGTTTTCAAATTGTTCATGTCTTTTGACCTGAATATTCTACTTCCAGGAATTTACTGTAGGAAAATGTTTAAGTGTACATGCAGAGATTCAGTTAAAAGGCTACTCCTTCAAGCAGTGTTTTAAAAATAGAAGGAAAAAAATTCAATTTCTATGAATAAAGGATTGATTAACTTATTTTTTTTTAATTTATTTATTATCTTTTTTTTTTTGGCTGTGTTGAGTCTTTGTTGCTGCGTGCAAGGCTTTCTCTAGTTGTGGCGAGCAGGGGCTACTCTCCGTTGTGGTGCGCGGGCTTTTCATTGCGGTGGCTTCTCTTGTTGTGGAGCATGGGCTCTAGGCATCCAGGCTTCGTTAGTTTTGGCATGAGGGCTCAGTAGTTGTGGCTTGCGGGCTCTAGAGTGCAGGTTCAGTAGTTGTGGCGCACGGGCTTAGTTGCTCCACGACATGTGGGATCTTCCCGAACCAGAGCTCGAACCCGTGTCCCCTGCATTGGCAGGCGGATTCTTAACCACTGTGCCACGAGGGAAGCCCGGGATTGATTAAATTATGAAACATTTATGTAATAGAACACCATGTGAGAGCACCATGTGACTATTTCAAATAGTGAAATTATTATAGGAGTATGTTCATAGATGTGGCAGGAATGATGAAACATTTTTAAGTTAAAAGAGGATGATTATAAAATAGTTTTTATATAACATATGCATAAAATATGGAACAACATACATCAATAAATGTCAGTAGTTATCACTAAGTGGTGGAATTGTAGTGATTTTTTTTCCTTCATTTTACTGTGTGTATTTTCTAATTTTTCTACTCAGCATATATTGATATATATATATACACTTGATCATTTCTTTTTTTTTCTTTGCTTTTTTTTTATACAGCAGATTCTTATTACGTATCTATTTTATACATATTAGTGTATATATGGCAATCTCAATCTCCCAATTCATCCCACCACTGCCCCCCGTGTTCCCCCCTTGGTGTCCACACGTTTGTTCTCCACATCTGTGTCTCTATTTCTACCTTGCAAACCAGTTCATTGTACCATTTTTCTAGATTTCACATATATCCGTTAATATACGGTATTTGTTTTTCTCTAACTTCATTCTGTATGGCAGTCTCTAGGTCCATCCACGTCTCTACAGATGACCCAATTTCGTTTCTTTTTATGGCTGAGTAATATTCCTTTGTATACATGTACCACATCTTCTTTATCTGTTCGTCTGTCGATGGGCATTTAGGTTGCTTCCATGACTTGGCTATTGTAGATAGTGCTACAATGAACATTGGGGTGCATATGTCTTTTCGAATTATGGTTTTCTCTGGGTATATGCCCAGTAGTGGGATTGCTGGGTCATATGGTAATTCTATTTTTAGTTTTTTTAAGAAACTTGCGTGCTGTTCTCCATAGTGGCTGTATCAATTTACATTCCCGTCAACAGTGCAAGAAGCTTCCCTTTTCTCCACACCCCCTCCAGCATTTGTTGTTTGTAAATTTTCTGATGATGCCCATGCTAACCGGTGTGAGGTGATACTTCACTGTAGTTTTGATTTGCATTTCTCTAATAATTAGTGATGTTGAGCAGCTTTTCATGTGCCTCTTGGCCATCTGTATGTCTTCTTTGGAGAAATGTCTATTTAGGTCTTCTCTCCGTTTTTTGATTGTTGTTTTTTTTTAATATTGAGCTGCATGAGCTGTTTATATATTTTGGAGATTAATCCTTTGTTGATTCGTTTGCAAATATTTTCTCCCATTCTGAGGGTTGTCTTTTCGTCTTGTTTATACTCTCCTTTGCTGTGTAAAAGCTTTTAAGTTTCATTAGGCCCCATTTGTTTCTTTTTTTTTTTTTTTTTCATTACTCTAGGAGGTGGGTCAAAAAAGATCTTGCTGTGACTTATGTCAAAGAGTGTTATTCCTGTATTTTCCTCTAAAAGTTTTGTAGTGTCTGGTCTTACATTTAGGTCTTTAATCCACTTTGAGATTATTTTTGTATATACAGTTAGGGATTGTTCTAATTTCATTCTTTTACATGTAGCTGTCCAGTTTTCCCAGCACCACTTATTGAAGAGACTGTCTTTTCTCCATTGTATATCCTTGGCTCCTTTGTCATAGATTAGTTGACCAAAGGTGTGTGGGTTTATCTCTGGGTTTTCTATCCTGTTCCATTGATGTATATTTCTATTTTTTTGCCAGTACCATACTGTCTTGATTACTGTAGCTTTGTAGTATAATCTGAAGTCAGGGAGTCTGATTTCTCCAGCTCCGTTTTTTTTCCCTCAAGATTGCTTTGGCAATTAGGGATCTTTTGTGTCTCCCTACAAATTTTAAGATTTTTTGTTCTAGCTCTGTAAGAAATGCCATTGGCAATTTGATAGGGATTGCACTGAATCTGTAGATTGCTTTGGGTAGTATAGTCATTTTCACAATATTGATTCTTCCAGTCCAAGAACATGGTATATCTGTCTGTTTACACTTGATCATTTCTTTTAAAACAAAAGTAATTTCGGAAATTTTTTACTACAGCCCATTCTTTATGCATTTAAAGAAATCAAGGTCTGAGAGTCAGAGTTAAAAAATGCCTGAACTAGGACTTGATCTTCTGGCTCCAAGTTCAGAGTTATTTCTGTTCCAAATGCTTTGTCTTTTTCCCTTTTTTTTTTAACATCTTTACTGCAGTATGACTGCTTTACCATGGTGTGTTAGTCTCTGCTTTATAACAAAGTGAATCAGCTATACATGCACATATATCCTCCCTCTTGTGTCTCCCTCCCAGCCTCCCTATCCCACCCCGCTAGGTAGTCACACAGCACCAAGCTGATCTCCCTGTGCTATGTGGCTGCTTCCCACTACCTGTCTGTTTTACATTTGGTAGTGTATATATGTCCATGCCACTCTCTCACTTCATCCCAGCTTACCCTTCCCCCTCCCCATCTCCTCAAGTCCATTCTCTACGTCTGTGTCTTTATCCTGTCCTGCCCCTAGGTTTTTCAAAACTCTTTTTTTTCTTTAGATTCCATATATATGAGTTAGCATACGGTATTTGTTTTTCTCTTTCTGACTTACTTCACTCTGTATGACAGTCTCTAGGTCCATCCACCTCACGACAAATAACTCAGTTTCATTTCTTTTTATGGCTGAGTAATATTCCATTGTATATATGTGCCACATCATCTTTATGCATTCATCTGTCAGTGGACACTTACGTTGCTACCATGTCCTGGCTATTGTAAATAGAGCTGAAATGAACATTTTGGTACATGACGCTTTTTGAATTATGGTCTTCTCAGGGTATATGCCAAGTAGTGTGATTGCTGGGTCGTATGGTAGTTCTACTTTTAGTTTTTTAAGGAACGTCCATACTGTTCTCCATAGTGGCTGTATCAATTTACATTCCCACCAACAGTGCAAGAGAGTTCCCTTTGCTCCACACCCTCTCCAGCATTTATTGTTTGTAGATTTTTTGACTATGGCCATTCTGACTGGTGTGAAGTTATACCTCATTGTAGTTTTGATTTGCATTTCTCTAATGATTAGTGATGTTGAGCATCCTTTCATGCGTTTGTTGGTGATCTGTATATCTTCTTTGGAGAAATGTCTATTTAAGGTCTTCTGCCCATTTTTGGATTGGGTTGTTTGTTTTTTTGATATTGAGCTGTGTGAGATGCTTGTATATTTTGGAGATTAATCCTTTGT